TGCCCAAGGGTCAGCCCAACAGCCAACTGTAGTCTGGTTTAGAGACTTAAAGTGAAGCTATGAAGCAGAAGCAATAGTTATTTATTGAAAGAAGCCTTAAGGTTTCATTAGGACTCAGGCTGTGTTGGGCCTCTGGAGAGAAAGCGAACGAGTACATGTACACAGGTGTATAGATCATAGCTGTGTTGGTTTAAGGACTTGGGCAGACAAGGTTCTTTGGGTAAATCTGATATCTTTTATTAGACGAACTCAAATAGTTGGAAAAATTCTGCTTTGCAAGCTCTAGGGTACAAGTACCCTTCATCAGGCTGAGGAATTCTTTGCATTTGGTGTGTGCTCTTCCTGGCTGGAATGAATAGTAAAGAAGCCAGAGGCTGGTATGCATGTGACAGAGCCAGTTGGTGAAAATATAAATTGAGGCAGTCAATGGGTGAGGGAAGGAGGGGGGTGGGACAGGAAGGGGGAAGAGTAATGAATGTAGCTAGTAAATAGTAGAGAGGTACCTGGGGAGTCGGATATTAGGCAGGTTATAATGTGTTGTGAATCCAGTGTCTATATTGAGTCCATGATTTTTTGTATCCAATAGGCTGATGAAGTGAAGGTCATAGGTTTGTCCGTGAAAGGTGTTTTGTAAGTTTCCTTTTTGAGAATTAGAACTGAGAGATTGGAGAGAGAGTGCTTTTCTTGTGAGAAATGTGCACCCTTTCCCCCACAGTAATTGGGTATTCTTGTCTTTGATAGATGTTTGGTGAGCGTACATTCTGTCATGCAATTGTTGTTCGGTTTCCCCTATAGATTTTCCATCGGGGCATTTGTTGCACTGGATGAGATGTTACATTGCTGGAGGTACAGGTGTAGGATGTACACACACACACACACACACACACACACACACACACACACACACACACACACACACACAGAGTCTCATACATGCCAATATCATGGCTTTGGCTGTATGAAGTTTGTGACTACTGATTTAGTAGCTGCCACAAACCGTGGCTGTGTTGGATGCACTTTCAAACTTTCACTGAAAGTTGGTTGGAGGAAGAAGCAAAAATCTACAGGAAATCGAGAGGGAAGGGGAGAGGAGTGGAAGCTGGAGAAAGATGGGTGGTTTGTTTCACCCAGTATAATCTAGAATTCTCTTCTTGAATGTCTTTGGGGAGGAGGGTCTGTTCTATTAAGTTTCTTGGAGCACTGGTTCATTTATGATGATGGAAGAAGAATGGCCAAATTGGCCTTCCCAAGCCTTGCTAAATGTGTCTTTGTTTGGTTTTTTGTTTTTTTGTTTTTTTTGTTTTTTTGGGGTTTTTTTGTTTTTTAATAGTCTTCCTGTACCTTGAAATTCCATTTAAAGACTGAACATACTTTCTGTGTGATAGCTTTTATGTCTCAGAGTCTGGATACATTTGATTTTCATGCATATTTCTGTCTGTTACAGAATCAAGTGCAAAAGAAATCTAACTGGAGACAGCATCATGAGGACTTCATGAATGCTATTCAGTCAGCCAAGGAAGTCACAAAAGCCATGAAAGAGGGTCACCCTCTTCCCCCACCGCCTCCTCCAAGCATCAATCCAGGTCTGTGGTCTCATGTTGCACTGATAGTGTACTCCTGTTTACTGAATGTGTGTGCTCCTATTTTTTCATAGCTCTGCACAGTGTTGCACTGCTTAGCTCATTAACGTTAATTATATGGTTCCTTTCCTATGTGGTAAAGTTACTACACATTTTTTAAGGGGTACCTTTACCTTGGATTCAGAGATTTAATCTGTAGTACAGCTGTAAATCGTTCATCCTAAATCGTGTCCTAAATCTGCCCCCACAGATGAATGGTGAGGGGGAAGATGTAACAAGACTAATCCTATCAATAAACTTGAAACACCTCAGTGTAGTAGCAGACAGAGTTCTGGGATGAGGGTCAGGATACCTGGACTCTCATACTGACTGCCACTGACTAACAAGGGTAACATTTTATTCTCCTGCCCTCAAAATTAGCTTATTGAGTTGTG